CAAGAAGAAGTTTCATGATATCTGACCAATAACCTTGATAGGTACATTCACTTGACCAGATCTAATAGCTGAACTAAGAAATAATTAAAATGTTTTACTTGATTTGACCATATGACCTGGGGAATAGGTCAAGGTCATTCATCTTTTAAATAGTATAGCCCTTCACCCAGCTTGCTTTTGGTCCAAGATGGTAACCGCTGGCCTTATGATTATTCCAAAGAAGTTGTTTCATGGGTTTAAAACAAACACGAAAGTCGAAGGTTACGCTATGAATTTCGCCACTTGCATCAAACGTTAACCAACTCTAATGCTAAGGTGATTACATAGGCCCTTCTATTTTTTTTAAACAGGTGAGCCCAAAAGAATTTAGCTGTACTTTTGTTTTTGGTTTGCGTGATGTCTGTTTAACTGTGTAAAACTGATTCATCTTACCTCATACAAAAAGCCTTTGCTTTTGTCACGTCCTTCAAATCGCCAGTTCTGTAAAATCACAAAGAGAATGTTGACATCCAGTCATAGCATCATAATTTAAATAGATAATCTTATGAAAGGCCTTCACACATGCTTGTTAAAGGATCCAATATACCCACTCTAGAACACAAGCATCCTAAACAAATATCTGGTATTTACGATTATTATACATTTGATACCTTTAGCTTTTAAAGGGGGACACGATAATTGATACAGAACGACAAAAATAATCTCACAAATTATTCATAGTAAGACCGAACTATAACGTGTTTATTCTAGTTACCCAGCAACCAATATCTAAGTAATAAAACCCAAGATGGCCACTAGCAGCGTATTAAACTGTGAATTACTGCAGGCCCATATCAACACTGACTTTGATATCTTCATTAAGGATTAAACCCCCTTGGGATGAACGTATGTTATCCAAGGTTTTTGAATAACGTAGAAAATTAATACACAGCATTTATGCCTAACACATGGGACTCTCTGATAAAAAGAACCATAATGTTAATGCTATGGAAAGTTACCACATCATATACACACAATTAAAGGTTTTGAAAAAAATGTGTTAAAATTCTGAAACATATTTTTTAAGTACCAGTAAAAAAGAACTTTTGTTGAAAAAATGCATTAGTAACAATACATTAATTACTTCAATTTAAAAAGATTTTATTAGAAACACTTCATCAGTATAAGCAAGAGGATCAAGATTATTAGATATATTACTATTGAATGGCATTGTTTACACAGCTTTCCAGATAGATTGTCTGAAAAATTTACCACAAAGCAATAAATGAAATAGGGTGTAATACCCCGGTACGGTAATAGGTTTTTAATACTGACCTGTCACAATACTCACCATCACACCAGCATGTATCAAATATTGGATAATATGTTGATAAAATCACTTATCTATAATATATGCTTCAAATTGACACCTCTGATTGGAGGAGAAAAGGACAAGTCGACAAATGTCTCGAACTTTTAACATTTTTATAATTTTGTCAGTTAATATTTACAGAGTTGATAACTGGAAAAAACTGACCTGGTAATAGTTTGTAACACTTTTTCTATTCTTTAGAATTCTTTTGGTCTGTAAGAGATTTATCTGATTTATCTCAGACAATTGCCCGCACAAGCATGGAAATATTTCAGACAATGGCCCGCACAAGCATTGAAATATGTGAGACAATGGCCCGCACAAGCACGGAATTATTTCAGACAATGGCCCGCACAAGCATGGAATAGGTATGACATTCGTGATGATTTCAGTAACCCACGGTACTTATCTAGGTGTTGAATGGGTGCAAAAATAAAACCATCATTTCTGTCAGATCAGAAAGCCAGACAGCTTCACCCTTGTAAAAATCATTTACCTCAGGTGAACAAAGATTCATGTTTCCCTGCAACAACAGCAATAAATACATATTTATAAAATTTGGATAAGACACAGTCCTCGGGACAAATAAAATTATTTGACTTATCTGATGGTTTGACTCTATCGAGTATCACAAGTGACCAGAGATGTTTTATTCCGTTAACTGTTAGAGAACCTTCAGAGTGAATACTGTACAGTGTCCGAGACACCCACGCCAAATTTACTCCGAGAGAAACATTAGAGCCATCCGCTGTATTCGATTCAATTTTGACTGTATATTGTACACGGCTATGTGGTGTAAGCTGAAGGCCAATTATAGAGTCTGGTCAGTAAACGCAAAACTACATATTTAGTATGTCGAAAAAATATTTTTGATCAAACAAATTATTTATATTATTTATATGTATACAAAAACTAGCATAGATTCCTTGTAAAATTATGATTTCTCGGATCATAAAATAGTGTCAGAAGTAGATAACCTCATTAATTATATGTGCATATCAATTTGGCAAAAGCCTGATCTGGTTCAAAAGATTTGGCAAGCAAACTTAGCCAGACACTTGCCATTATGTATGTGTGCCCTTCCCAGAATCTACCCCCCCCCCCCCCCCCCCCCCCCATATGTTTATGTGCCCTTCCTGGAATCTTAACAACCCCCTCCACTATCCATATGTTTGTGTGCTCTTCCTGGAATCTTAACAACCCCCTCCCCATCAATATGTTTGTGTGCCTTCCTGGAATCTTAACAACCCCTCTACTATCCATGTATGTGTGCTCTTCCTGGAATCTTAACAACCCCTCTACTATCTATATGTTTGTGTGCCCTTCCTGGAATCTTAACAACCCCCTCCACTATCCATATGTTTGTGTGCTCTTCCTGGAATCTTAACAACCCCCTCCCCATTTATATGTATGTGTGCCCTTCCTGGAATCTTAACAACCCCCCCCCCATCCATATGTTTGTGTGCCCTTCCTGGAATCTTAACAAACCCCTCCCCATCCATATGTTTGTGTGCCCTTCCTGGAATCTTAACAACCCCCTCCCAATTCATATGTATGTGTGCCCTTCCTGGAATCTTAACAACCCCCTCCCCATTCATATGTTTGTGTGCCCTTCCTGGAATCTTAGCAACCCCCTCCCCATTCATATGTATGTGTGCCCTTCCTGGAATCTTAACCCCCTCCCCATCCATATGTTTGTGTGCCCTTCCTGGAATCTTAACACCCCCTCGGCTATCTATATGTTTGTGTGCCTTTCCTGGAATCTTAACAACCCCTCTGCTATCTATATGTTTGTGTGCCCTTCCTGGAATCTTAACCCCCTACCCATCCATATGTTTATGTGCCCTTCCTGGAATCTTAACAACCCTCTCCCCATTCATATGTTTGTGTGCCCTTCCTGGAATCTAAACAACCCCTCTACTATCTATATGTTTATGTGCCCTTCCTGGAATCTAAACAACCCCCTCCCCATTCATATGTTTGTGTGCCCTTCCTGGAATCTTAACAACCCCCTCCCCATCCATATGTATGTGTGCCCTTCCTGGAATCTTAACACCCCCTCTACTATCTATATGTTTGAGTGCCCTTCCTGGAATCTTAACAACCCCCTCCCCATCCATATGTTTATGTGCCCTTCCTGGAATTTAAACAACCCCCTCCCCATCCATATGTATGTGTGCCCTTCCTGGAATTTAAACATCCCCCTCCACTATCCATATGTATGTGTGCCCTTCCTGGAATCTAAACCAAACTCCTACCCATCAATATGTTTATGTGCCCTTCCTGGAATTTAAACAACCCCACTCCTCATCCATATGTATATGTGCCCTTCCAGGAATCTAAACAACCCCCTCCACTATCCATATGTATATGTGCCCTTCCTGGAATCTAAACAACCCCCTCCCTTGTCCATATGTATATGTGCCCTTCCTGGAATAATAGAACAGTATATGCTCTTGATTGACATGTACAACTATACGTACAATGCTGCCAACCTGTCGAAATATTTGCAGAACCTTTAGATTAAGAGGATGGCACAAATATAATGTACTAACCTCTTCGGACGGTCCTTTTATTTGCTCCTTGATGAAGGTACGATCCATATCTGTGAGGCCATACTTATCAAATTCTGTATCCAGTCCATTCTTTTTCACCAGGTGATCAAACATGTCCACAGAGGCTTCTTCATGCTATAACAGAGGGTATCACAATTACCTTTATATAATTTCAAAGTTATAACAAAGTGATTGTTTGCTTTAAGTGAGCTGTACCACTGATTGCTATAGATTGCTGTAGTAAGACCACAGATTGTATATGTAAATCAAGTTAACATTAATACTATGTTGTTGTCATACCTTTTTGTATCAGGGCAAGACAAATGTCCAACCATCCATAGCCACTTAATTTAGTCTGTGGCCAATGTCTATTTGATATGCATGTATGCAATATGAGAAAGATCTGTCTAGTAATTCTTGAGAAATAGCATTAACTAAGTTAAACTGTCAAAATCTTGTTTTTTCAATCAGTTTCAAACTGCACAACTTTGAACCTGAAATATTGGGACCTTAAATTTCTTTCTAAAACCTCGACTACTTACCTCCCAATCGACGCCATCAGGAAGGGCCTGTGGGATGAACTTCCTGTCAAACAGGTGAGAAAATGGACCATGGCCTAAACAGAAACCATTGTAAACATCAGGAAGACAAAAGACAAATATGTAATCCGTGGATCACTGCATTTACTTGGGAGTAGTGCTAGGTTTAACTGGAGAAGATTTGCTCCTCTGAAAAATATTCTATACTGACACATACCAGTATGAAGATTATTTCCCCATACAAATATTCAATACTGACATTTACCGGTAAGTAGAAGTTTATATCCCTTGAAAAATATTCTATACTAATATTTACTGTTGAGTAAAAGATTATCTCCCCAAAGAAAATTCTATACTGATATTTACCAGTATGAAGATTATCTACCCTTACAAATATTCTATACTGATATTTACCAGTATGAAGATTATCTACCCTTACAAATATTATATACTGACATTTACCTGTGAGTAGAGGATTATCTCATCTTATAAATATTCAATACTGACATTTATCAGAATGAAGATCATCTCCTCTTATAAATATTCTATTTTGACATTAACCAGTATGAAGATCATATCCTCTTACAAATATTAAATACTGACATTATCTGTGAGTAGAAGACTATCTCCCCTTATAAATATTCTATACTGATATACAAGTGAGTTTCAGGATTATCTCCACTTATAAATAGTATGAAGATTCTCTCCCCTTCTAAATATTCTATACTGACATTTACCAGTAAGTATGAAGTTATCTCCCCTTATAAATATTCTATTCTGACATTTACTAGAATGAAAATTATCTCCCCTTATAGATATACTTTACTGACATTTACTAGTATGAATATTATCTCCCCTCATACATATTCTATTCTGACATTTACCGATGAGTTTCAAGATATCTCCTCTTATAAATATTATATACTGACATTCACTAGTATGAAGATTATCTCCTCTTATAAATATTCTATACTGACATTTACTAGTATGAATATTATCTCCCCTTATAAATATTCTATACTGACATTCACTAGTATGAAGATATCTCCTCTTATAAATATGCTATACTGACATTTACCAGGGAGTATGAAGATTATCTCCCCTTATAAGTATTCTATTCTGACATTTACTAATATGAAGATTATCTCCCCTTATAAATATGCTATACTGACATTTACCATTGAGTATGAAGATTATCTCCCCTTATACATATTCTATACTGACATTTACCAATAAGTATGAAGATTATCTCCACTTATAAATATTCTATTCTGACATTTACTAGAATGAAAATTATCTCCCCTTATAGATATACTTTACTGACATTTACTATTATGAATATTATCTCCCCTCATACATATTCTATTCTGAAATTTACCGATGAGTTTCAAGATATCTCCTCTTATAAATATTATATACTGACATTCACTAGTAAGAAGATTATCTCCTCTTATAAATATTCTATACAGACATTTACCAGTAAGTATGAAGATTATCTCCACTTATAAATATTCTATTCTGACATTTACCAGTGAGTTTGAAGATATCTCCCCTTATAAATATTCTATACTGACATTCACTAGTATGAAGATTATCTCCTCTTATAAATATGCTATACTGACATTTAGCAGTGAGTATGAAGATAATCTCCCCTTATAATTATTCTATGCTGACATTTCTACTGAGTAGAAGATCTCATTACCAAGGTTGTGGTAGAGACCAGTTATCTCTTCACAAAGGGAGGTAACCAGGTCAAACTAAATATGGATCACAGCTAATTACCAAGGTCATGGTAGAGCCACAGAAAGGGAGGTAATCTATTCAAATTAGCTTATTACCGAGGTCATGGCATAGTCCAGCAATCTCCACACATAGAATGTCTTTGCTGGAAACATGGAGCTGTGGTTGTCTGTTTTTGATGGCCCGAACCAGTTCTCCTGCCAAATGACATACTCTGCAAGAAAGTAAGACTCATAGTAACACTTGGTTATATTCACCCAATGTATCGTTTTATTGCTTAAATGTAGCAGTGGCCATGCTTTACACTCTCTAACCTTGCCCAAGTAGAATGACACAGTGTTAATATGATTAAAGGTAAAAACAATTTCGACAATAGTTTAAGTTGTTGCCAGATAATGTTATCATTCCAACCTTACACTATGCTCAAAGTTTGGGGACAGTCCCTGTGAATATATTATACTCACCAAAGTGAGCTCTACTGAAAACTGCTGTGAACAGTCTCAAAAGTTGCGCTGCACAGCTAAGGACCAAGGGGAACCTACATATAAAATTTGAGAACGATCCCTATGGTACTTCTTGAGTAATAGCTATAACAAACTTTCACTATCAAAATCCAAGATGGCTGCCTGTCGGCCATGTTGTTTATCCGATCAGTCTCAAAAGTTGGGCAATCTCACAGCCGTTGTATAGCGGTATCAGGTCCTTCAGCCCCACATCAACCCATTCATCTGTCAGCAGAATCTTACCTTCCTGCAGAATAATGCCAGGCCACATGTTGTAAGGGTGTGTCGTGCTTTTCAGAGTGTTTGATTTGTCCCCCGTTGAACATTTATTTGTGGAACAAATTGGACAGGCAGGTTAGAAAAAGCCAATAACAAAATAACAGTATTGCCCAATTGTAGCAGGCACTTCTGGAGGAATGGAAAAACATCCCAGCTCAAAGAATAAACAGACTGATGGGTTTTAAGTTGAGAAAGATACAGGCAGTGATCTTGGCCTGCAGAGGATACCCACCGTATTGAATAGACACTGCAATAGGGCATGGGTGGCTATATTGTGACGTCATTCCTGACACTGTTGTTTGTGTTCCAACATATATTTTTAATTAGTCAGTAAGTATCCAGTTGACTGTTAAACTTAACTGTCATGAAATATTTTCAATAACCTTTACAAAATTTGCTACCAAAAACAAAATTGTGTTACTTTTTTCTATCATTATATTATACAACCCTAGACTTTACTAAAACCTGTTACCAACCCTAGGCTATGTTCGAATCTGTTGTGCGAAGCCCCTGGATAAACAAAGTAACAAGCCCCAAGCTGCTTGATAAACCGTAGCCTCTGGAACTCTGGAGTGTCGATGATCTTGACACACAGAGGGTGTAACTCTATATGACCGTGTATGGGGTCATTGAATATCTGT